TAACCAATTTTTATTCGATTTAAAACTTAAATTTAACATTTCGATTGATATTAAAATAATTATAAAATTGTTAAAATAACGCAAACTTCAAACAATCTCTCAAAAAACCGAACCCAACGAATCATCTCGTTCAACGAGCCGAGGTGTCAAAAATATATAAAATTAACAACAAGTTCAACGAGCTGCGAAACGATTTCTATCATATATTAACGATTAATCAAACTCGATTCCCTAATTAAACAGGCGATCGACACTCGCCATTGTGATACAATTATACCGAATGTATTACAATCGCGAACGGGTAAAAGCCGCTCGGTAAAAGGGAAAGCCAATTATTTCGTCTGACCGGCCGTTATGCAAAATTCCGTTAATATAATGCGCTGCGCCGGTTATTTATAGAGTGACTGGACAATTCTAGACTTCTTGGACTTTCTAGGCCTGTTCCCGCCGCGCCGGAAAGGTCATCATTTTTCGACGACCTTTCGATTAACGCCTGGAAATTACATAATGACAGTAACACAAGAGATTATGGGGGAACAAGCGTAATAAGATTCCATTTATATATATATATATATACGAATAAGTAAAGTGAATTTGCCGATCCCTTCCACCGATGGTGCGTCCAAACTCGCGATCTTCCTCGTTGTAGGATTAACCGTTTCCGTGTTTATATCGATAATTGGCAAATTACAATCTATCTACATCAACAATCTATCTTTTCAACGATTATTATTATTATTATTATTATTATTATTATTATTATTCGATTGCAAATTGTCCTTATGGATCTACGCATCTCTCACTCTGACGAAATTATCTCACTCTGTAGAAAAGCACGCACACGTGGATATTGGTAATTTGCGAAGGGTCTTCAAGGGTTTCCAATGGAAACGTATCCCGTTTTCAGCGCGATCCATTTCCTCGATACGAATCGAAACGCGGAAACTGTCACTATCTTTTCGACCGTTCGAAAAATATTCTTCCGCATTGTTCACGCTTCTGCTTCGAACCGGCCACGCCACGCGACGTGGTTCGTTCACCATCGGGACTTTCCTTCTCCACGACAACCGCTCGTTTCCATGCGTGGCGACAACAAGCCGCACGCCCTCGCATCGTAAACGTAAAAAATGATTCAACCGTTTGATTCCAAATGATTCATTCGCGGCGTTGTTCGCCGATTCGCCGCTGTCTGTCAATCAGCTAGCTTCTTCGTCGCCCATTTCGAAGATTTCGCCAAGATTTCGAACTAATCGTTTCACACAATGATCACCGATTTAAAAGCGGTTGAAAAATGGTTCCTCGAGTTCGGAATTATCTTGTAAATTTTTCAGTCTAGTGTCAAATATCTGCTCTGAAAATGGTGATAATTTTGGAACTGATCCACGTCTACGTGAACATTCTGAAGCTTGAAAAACCGTTGAAAACCGGTTCTGGTATTATGAATCGGTTTGTCAGAATTAGTTCTCTATAGCATTTCTATTCGGTTTTTAATGAATGCGTAAGAGAAGTTTAAAAGCTAGGGAACCCTAGCTGGGATAGAGTAACTTTGTAGTTTTGACTTTGAATATGTGCGTTAATTTTATTAATTTTATTATGAAAAAAAAAATCGTTTCTAAAATATTGTTTAATAAATGGACGGGACAATAAATTAAAATGTTCAATAGTTTCTTTAAAAAAGGAAAAATTTTTTTTAAATTATTCACAAGCTCATAAATTACACTAGGCCTTTATGGTTTCTGAGAACCATTCCTCCATTGACAACTTGTATTCACGTAATCATACGTCAATCTACAACCAGGTTTGAAACGGTCTTTGATGAGTTTGCAACTTGAAACACTTGCAAGTTTTTATTCCTAATCTATTCTAGCTCGTATTGCTAATTTATTCACGATTCTCTACGTATCCGATTTCCTTTGAAACCTCCTCGACAGACTTGTGAACGATCTGCTCTCATTAATCGAGCCTGCTAGTTGCAACTTTATTCGAGAACTCGTTTGAAATTCTATCCGCGTATTTCCAATTTTATATATTAAGATAACTTGGTCAAATCGTTTCGTGAAATTTTACGAAACACACACATATATATATATATATATGAGAGAGAGAGAGAGAGAGAGAGAGAGAGAGAGAGAGATGTAGAGATTGTTTAGCGTATAAAATCAATAATAACTTTATTTTAATCTTTCGCAAGACTTCCTTCAAACATCCCACCCAATGGTTATTTTCGAAAAATGTGCGACAGACGCCCTCGCATTTGCAATATGAATGCAATGATCAATGAGTCATTCCTTCGTCTACGAACCGCTCGAACGTTTGCCTTTTATTGGCATCTGACCGACCTCTTTTAAGGCCGTTTGTACACTTTCTCGTCTTCGATGCGTACCGCCATCTTACGTAACATCGATCGATTATTTTCTTCAATCTAATCTCTATCTTCTTCGTGTTTAATTTTCCAAGATCGAATTAACATTTTAACGAGTTCTTTTTTACAAACACCGCGCAAATTCCATTTTCTTCTGTCCGAAGTTGTAGCAAGTTCCTTCAGAAGTGAAATTCCAATTAAAATATCAAACTAAATCCCTCTCGAATTTTAGTCACGAGCGTGCTAAAGAAATTCGCGTAGCTTTATTACGCCGGTCTCCCGTGAACTACTAACAGTAAAACTACGGAAATGATGGATTAAAATGCATAATACGGCTGCTAATTAAAGTAAGAGCAGACGCATGGATAGACTAAAGTCACGGCTGCGTGATACTCGCACGATTTTGCGCAGTTGCGTATAGTGCAATCGGCCAGGCTTCTCCACGCGGAGAAAGCGAGAGGAAACGAAGGAAAGAAAAGGAGAGGAAAATGGTGAAAAAGATTTCGAGACGAAAAAGATTTTGACATCTTTGAAAATTTAATCGTTTGTATAGAAATAGAATCCCAACGAAACCATTTTCTTTTTCATTCGCACGATCTCTAAAATTCCTAACCTCGAAGCTCGAACTCGACTTATCATTGTATTCGTCCATCGTTAACGAGCAAATGTTAAATCCCAACTCTGAAAAATAAAATATCCATAAAATATTATCCACCTCGGCCAGTTCACATAACCTCCGACTACCTAACCTCAAAGTTAAGACTCGCCAGGCATTCATCCAGCCTATTAACGAGTAACGTAGAATAAATCGGCAAAGGCAGGAATAGTAAAGCTGACTATCCAGTTGGGAAGGGATACGTAAAAATTCGCAGGGTGGACGTAAACGAGGGGATTTGTATTCATCGAACGGCCGGCCGTTTGCTTGCTCGAAGAGGCTGCGGGACCACCGAGCGCGAAACGCGTGAATCCACCTTTTGTACGGGATTATTTACATTCACGTAGGAGCTAAATGGAAGTTACATCGGGGCAAGGAATGCAGCGTCGTGGGACATCCGCCCGTGAAACGTATGCATCGCGGTCGAACCTCGTGGGACGCCTTTACGCATCCACTTGTTTCCGATTTTATTGCGATACGTGCGTACATCCTTCTGCCTTCCCAGAAAATCCTTCCTTCGCGTCTCTTTGCGTCTTCTTCCTTCTTTGCGAGCCTGCCTCGCAAGGGGCGCGTTCAGGAAACGGTCTGACGTTGAAAATAGCGAGGCTTCGGTTTCATTTTAAGACGCGTCCACGGTGTAATGAGATTTTTTTTTGGCAGATGACGCGACAGTCGTTTAGCAATCTAGTTTCGAAGAGCGTTTCCCTCGCGACCAAAATTTTCCTTAGAATTTTCAACTCTTTTGTGAATATTTTCTCGAATTGTGACGAGTTTGCTCAATAAATATTTCGTTTCGAAATATTCGAAATATCTTTTTATATTTTCTGAGAAACACCGCATTTTTTTAAAAATTTATATTTCTCGTCCGAATTCGAATGCACGATTAGGACGAAGGATTCTTTTTTAATTGGAAGGAATAATTGGTTTTCTTAGATTGCGCGAATTGGAATATCCTTAACTTAATAATTTACAAGTTGTGTTCACGTAACATTAATTAACACATCTAATTAACGATTGCAATCGATCGATTTTACCCAGATGGAAAGAAACGAAGAAACTAATCGGTGGTTATTGTGCAATTAGCGCTGCCTGGACAGAATTATACCGAGACTATTCGCGATTCTCTCGCCGTACGAGGTTCTCTCTCTCTCTCTCTCTCTCTCTCTCTCTCTCTCTCTCTTTCTCTCTCCTCCCAACACCGCGATTCATTCGAGATTCTCGTATCGTGGCCGACGTATGGTTTACGTTCACGTAGGAAACACCTTGACTCGACACGAAAACCCAGTTAGCACCGCGATTCGCCATCTGTATACGATCGCAGATTCTTTTCTCTTCGCTTTTTTCCTATTCTTTCACGATTTTCTTTTTTTTTTTTTTTTTTTTTTTTTTATAGAGAACATCGTACATCGATGAAAAAAGTTGGATTTCTTTTTACCATTTCTATTACCTACTACTCACGTTGAATGGGTTTTCCATCATTCAAGATGGAATAACGGGTTGTCGTGAAAAGGG